AGGGAGGGAGGGAGGAAGGAAGGAAGGCGGGGGGAAGCACCGCCCGCCCCAGCTGAGGAAGGGGCGCGTTAACCCTCTTAATAGTACTCGCTGAAAGCTGTTTATTCAAACACTGTTTGCGGAGCAGGGATGCTCAGAAGCAGCCACCAACCATCCCCCATCTCCGCCCCCCGAAAAAACCCGCACAGAAAGAGGTGCTTTCCCTCCTGAGTGACACCTCCTTGGTGACCTGTATAAGGAAGATTAACGGGGGGTCAGAGAAGACTGACTTTTTGTGGGTTTTGCAGTTAACGTGAATTTGCACTCCACGGGGCTGAGGAGAGCGAGCGTTCGGCTAGAGGAGGCCTGTCTGCCACCATCGTGTCTGTGCAGCCTCCTCCCAACATGTGTCTGCTCATCGCTAATTAATATATATGCTACCTGTGGGAAAAGGAAGGCAAACTGCATAATGAATGAGAGGTGGTGAGGGCTGAGTCTGCAGCTGAGGGTAAATCAGTGGAGTTGCCTGCAAGGCAATGCTTTAGCTACAGGGAATCAGCGGCCCAGGTGAGGAGCTCCCCTAAATGCTCTGCAAAAGTGCATAGTGCAGGTTGTAGTCTCAAAGAGAAACACGGCAGGTAGATCTATCAAGTTCTTCGCTAAAAATAACTGCATTTGTTGCACTGTTGAAAATAAATTGCAGCACGTTACTTCTTTTCTAAAAAAACTCCTGCACATACAGGAAGAATAACTACTTTTCAATTAGCAGGAAAGTATATATTTTCATATCTTATATATAGTGTCGTTTATTTTCTGTATACATCTAGACATATGTTTATATTTTAGAAACTATCATGGATTTTGGACTCCAATAAGCCCAGTCCTCACTGTCTCCTCTCAGGTCAGACTTGGCAACAACCTTAAGATAAGGAGATTTGTGGTACACAGCATGAGAAGCCAAAACGTTCCCCAGGAACATAATCTGTTGGAGGAGAGATTGATTGGTTTGTGTTGGGCATGGGCTGTCCAAAATCAGAGATTCTGGTCTTTCATTATGTTCCTTACAAACCTACCTTTTTGTCCTGGTTTTCGTTGGAACTGGTACAGTGCTGTGTTTTGGATTTAGTAGGAGAATAATGTTGATAACACACCAATGGTTCAGTTGTTGCTAGGTA